TGATGTCAGCTTGGATTGATTAAGTTCAACCTTACTTGGACCTCTACAGGAGTGTAGAATAAGCTTGCCTGGTCGAGACAACTCCTTATATAGCACCGACCTCCCCACTGTAGACTCACCTGCTAGTGTGCTGTCTATTTTCGAGAAATCTAATACAGGAACAGTCCTTGGAGCTTCTCCTACCTGATTGGCTACCCTTTCTATCGATCTTTTCCTCTTATTGGATGATTCATTTCCCACTATGCTATAATGACCCCATGGTAGAGTATCGATACAACCAGGTTGCAAAAATCGTTTGACGTCATGTGCACTTAAAGCAATTTTCGTTTCTGTTTCAGTGAATAGTTGATAATGACGCAATCTAATAATTTTCTGCTCTCGAGTGATGCTAGAACTTTTAGTCAGACACTTGATGTAATCTTCAAAGGTTATCGTAGCTCCTACAATGGAGCTTTTTCGTCTTAAGCTTTTTTTAATGGTTTTTTGATTTTGAATTTTCAAGCCATACATTTTACTTCGCAATCCTACAAATTCCAACATAATATTACCATTGCATTCATCTTTCATGACACCAACAATTTTTTTGTTTTCGTGAGGCATATTAAAATCATTGTTGATGGGATAGTCCCACGTGTCCAATTCTCTGATATTCTCACGCATCACATTATAGATATTTTTATTCGTTATTTTATATATAAGACTATGAGTGTCGATATACAACACTTTGCACTGATCCCCAATTTTAATTTTTATACAGTCACAACGAAATTGATACACAAGTGTTTTGGACCATTCCAAGACACTTTATTCTATATATATTCGTTTTTTAATAAAAATATCAGTGCGCATTAGTTGCTCGTCAAATATGTCACAACTATAAAAATTGGAACGTGCAATTTATGCTTTTGCCCCAAATCTTCCTGCCACTTATTGATAAGCTTAACGTCAATTCGCTTAAGCTCATTTTCCATTGTTTTTCCATATACTGCATTATTAAATAATTTGTACAACATCTTCTCAAAGTCATTTTTTGCATTTTGACGTTCTTGACTGTTTAAGTCGATGTATGTTTGTAACCAGGAACTTTTATTAAACTGTATGGCTTTGTAGATTTTTGTTATACGGAGAATATGACTCACTGCGTGCTTGAGTACCCGATAGTGTATTACATATCGTTTTTTGTCGTACAGAATAGTCAATAATTTTTTTTGTGTGGATCCTGGAGGTGTCACGTGCTCAGCACAAAATGGCAAATAATTATGTGCGTTATGGAGTGTTTCGAGGTAAGCAAGATCAACTTCGAGTATATACCCGATTTTAGCATTATCTCCTGCATTTAAAATACCTATTGGGATAATATTTGCAATCTATTTGAAACCGTAATGATAGCGTCAGGCAATGGTTGGGTCATGGCCCAACCATACAAATTGTTGACATCGAAATACATGAGATATTTTCCATCCATATCATCGCATTTGCTTTGTTTCATGTATGCATTATTTGCTTTAGCATAGGGATTACAACATATGCCATATGCCACGCTCAATAAACGTAAGTATGTCAACACTAGTTAACAATTTAAATTTCACCTTAAATCAATTAACATCATTAATATTATTATTTCATAATGAATTATAATTTAAAAAAATATTTTCAAACCTTTGTATACTTCAACATAGCATCCCAAGTTAAACCAGGGGTTATATAATAATGAGCCAGGTCTAACTCATATGCTTCGAGACAATTATTTCGAAAATTTTTGAAAACTTTGGCAAATAGTAGCACATCAGTCTTCAAGTATAAATCTGAATACTGTCCAAGTGTTTGAATGTTAAAAGTATTCCAGATACTTTTAGCATGCTCATACTCTTTATCAGTAATGTGAGCTTCGTATAAGCTACTATATAAATCTTGCTTTGTTGGTATCTTTTTTTCCTCTAGTTTTTCAAACGACGATATATAATCATACGAAAATATGCCTTTCCTTTTTAATAAATTTATTTGATTCATATCGTAGTTATCTTCATTTGAGAATGTACTTTCGATAATTTTCATTTCATTTGAATATGATGAGAGTTTGTTGAAACATGAAGGCATAAATTTGAAGGTATATATAAATCGTAGATTATTAATAGTTCCTTCAACATATTTTAGAAAGGAAATTTCCTTTATTTTGTCTGAGTTAAAAGTTAAACTCTTCCTGGGAAGTTAATAGTGAGTTCTTTTATGAACAAATGAGAATCATAACCGCTCAAGTTATGAAAAATTATTAGTATCATTCGTGAATCATGATAATTAATATTACACTTGCTATGCACGGGACCTCAAAACCTGCAATAGAAAAATGTTTCTTTGTTTGGTGTATGAAATAATAATAATAATTATAACACTAAAAAAAAGCTTTCCAGTCAGATGACAATGATATCTTACTTTTTTATCAACTAAACTGAAGGGATGGTTACATAAAATAAAGAAGCTTGATCATTCATGATCTTCACTGCTGTTGTCAAATCAATTATCTTGATAAGATTTTTACACAATTCTTCCAGTTTTAAAGCAAAGAAGGTGAAGAATATTGACAAACCATTTAGCAAGTGTCTCATCATTATTTATATCATTTTGTCTATAACTTTTATACTCTGATTTACTATCATCATAACTGCATTTGATAAAACATCCAATACTATATGCTACATAATGTTGGTACGCACGTTTATTTTCTACAGATTCCAATAAACATTCAAAGTCCGCTTAAACAACACAAGGTACTCGGTTCTTGTATGCAAAATTTTTTAATTCAAGTATGTGCTTATTTTTCTCTTTTTTAGGTAGAATAATTTTGCAACTATTCATATTTTTGCAATCTTTTTCATGGGCTTTCAATTTATCTTTAGACTAAAAGTAATGAAGGCATTGTTCACATATGTTTGCAGCATGTTTATGTTCAGACAACTGTTTGCGTATTAAACGTGACAAATTTTTAATCCAAACATAATGATATCCATACTCGGTATTTGAATCATCCTTACTATTGATTTTATTATCATCCTCCTCATTATCAATATAAAAACTTTCAACAAGTAAAAGGTTAACATGATTTTCTTTTTTGTTTCCTAATAAATGACTAGGACAAACATTATAAGTTTTACCTTTTTTTTTTAAAAATATAAATCAACCGAAACATTATTTTGTTTATCAAATGAAGAAATTTTTTTAGGGGTAACTGGAAACTTAATATCATTAAAATTCAACTCGTTCTCGTAATTTTTACAATTTGAGATACGATTTGCATTTTTATTTACTGGATGCAATGCTGATAAAATAGCCCATTTAAAGCATTGATTGTTCGTGTTAACAATATTTACACAAGCACTTTTTTTTTAATGTAGTCTTGTAAATCTATAAATGAATTACCTCGCATAGGATTAATAATTTATTTATTTTGATGACTAAATTCAATATTGACCGTAAAAACCAGCCAGAACCGGCATCTTCAAAGTCATCCATACTTTGCTCAATTGGTTGTTGCACATTATTATCAAACCAATCGTCTAAATCAGTTGTTTGATAAATGAATTGTGATTTTGTGTTAAAGAATTTAATATCGGTACTTTCAATGTTATCTTTTACTGTAACATATTCAGATAACAACACTGTGTTAACTTTGAGTGCTTCATGTTTTCTAAGAGATTGTTGTATTCGGTTCAAAAATTGCTTCTTTGCGTCTTTAAAAAAATTTCTCAAATCTAAATGTTCTAAGTTAACAATTAATGCTGTCATGATTCGTCTTTCGAAAGCACTATCAACATCTTCGAGACTTAATGTTTTATTGTACTCAGCAACTGAAAGTGTTGTTGACGGTACTACTGCTGCTATAGATGCCCCTGCAAGCCATCTTGCAATTTCAATGATTTACCGTCGGATATAAAAAAGTATAATAATCACCAGACGGTAGATGTCCACGGAATAGAATGGTTTGAGGGTGATGTTATTTTAAATGACTTAAAGTATCATCCAATAACTATTGCCAAGAACCTAAAAAGAATTTATACTTAAGGAAGTGATGAAGCTAAGTTCATAAGTTCAATCCTGACGCGTGAAGTTCACCATTTGTCCCAAATGTATCGTCCTTCCAGCAGGGACTACTCCACCCGAAAAGAGGGGCCGCTCGCCGCGGAGAGGTAGTGGGCCGAAATCGCCTGGCGACTCGAGCCTATCTGGACTGGAATCGCCATAGCTTATCTACTGCTGTCATTGATGTCACACGGCGATGATATACTATGAAGCACGAGTGGCCCAGCACTCCACTCCTCCCCCTCTTGTATTTGGTGGTTCTCTCTTACAGTTTCGCCAATAGGACCACTGTCACAACCGTCTTTTGGCACAACCGTACCCAGTCTCCTCCTACATATAGCTGAATACTCTGTCATGTTTGTGCAATTCCTAATATGTTCTTTATTTCTAGAGGAAAATTTTTTAGTTCACCCTTTATTTACAATATTATCGAACACGAACCTACACCTATTAAAATTTGTTTAATTCACAAATCAGCGCATCTACATATTACTCTGTGTTATATATTACTTTTGTATATGCAGGTCAACTGAAAATAGTCATAAAACTTTTTTAAAAAAACATCAACTGTAAAAATATAAATCAAAAAACATATTGAAATCCAGAATAAAACAGATAAAAAAATTTAGTAAGACTTGGATTATTTATTCATTATTATTTTATTTGTTATTTTTAGTATTAGGATTATTGATTAATTATTTTTAGTATTTATTTCATTGTAAGGTTGCAAAAATAGATTGACCTCGGGGTATCAGGAATTTACAAATAATTTTCATTATCCGATTGTCGTCTTAAGCCACACAGAAATTATTTATTTAATCATTTCACTAAATAAATTTGAAGCATGACTAGCTGTTTTAATACATTTGTCATATAAACTTACGATTTTTAAAAAGTACACAATGATATTTACATCATTCTCTTACCTCAATAATATCATCCTTCTGAGAATCAATGGTTTTCCCATTATTTGATTTTTTAGTAATTTTTCTCTGTGTATTCAGTAGAGTTTGTTGATTTTCATCCATTTGATCTGAATGAGTTTCATAAAACTGGAAAACGCTTGACAGATAGTTGAGTCTGAAAATTATCAAAAAAACTATTGTTATTTATTATTATAAGTAATTCAAACGATTAATATGCTAAGTAATTTTACTTTAAATAGTAAAAGTATACAATTCCGAAGGAGTGATTTTGGCTCAGTAGTGAGCGCGCTTAGTAGTGATACAACATTATCTTAGAGGTCGTAGATTCGATTCCCCGTGAATGCAGATTTTTTCAAAAACTGTTTTTATCGGCATAAGTTACTATGAAACCCCGGCTGTTTCAACGCGGGTTTTTCTGTAAAATTTTTCCTTCAGAGTGACCCCAGAGTTTTTTTCCTTATCCCACAGGTCATCAGACCTAGCTGAATGACCAACAATGTTAGGTCTATAGGGAGGTATTAGTGGATCTGATGCCAAGCAACAGGCAGCGATCAGCGGTCTTACCGGGAAAAGTGTTTCCCGAAACATGGGGCTTCTCCGGGAATGCTTATAAGCTGGATCCAATGCTTCGGCAGGGAGCGCCGCATAGTGTTGACAAATAAAGGAAAAAGGGCAAAAACTAGTGCTTCACTGGAATTTCAGCTTAAAAAGATTGTTCGATAGCTTTTTTTGTTCCTTTTGTTGCTCTATGAGAAACCAAGTCCCTTGCCTGCCTACGTAGTCAGTTTTTCGAAGAAGACATTTTTTTCGAAATATCACAGCACATTTCAATTACATAGTAATAACTCTTGATGAAGGTTGATGATAGTGATATTACTAAAATTACTATTAATTTTTTGAAAATTTTTGGATCCAAATACTAATTTTGAGCTGCCGATTTTATCGTTTTTTCGAAGGAAGACAATTTTTTCGAGATAATATAGCAAATTTTTAATGAACAATAAAAACTCCTGATGGAAGTTAAAGATAGCATTAAGTAACATATTTACAGGTTTTTAAAAAATGTTTGTAGCCAAATTCAGATTTTTAACTACTGATTGTCTCATTATTTCTAAGCAAAGACATTTTTTTCGAGATAATGAAGAGAATTTTAGTTAAGTGGTAATAATTCTTGATGTAGGTCTTAAATAGAATCAAGTATTACCACTTAAATTTTTCGAAAATTCTTGGCTTCAAAAAGTATCGAAAAATTAACAATAATCATTCTTCATACTACTTTCCAGCCTCTATCGAGAATTATAACCATTTGTATGATATTCGCTGTAATATGTCGAAAAACATCATTTCTTCTAAAATATGAGATAATTAGTAATTCCAAATTTAAATTTGGCTGTAAAAGTTTTCAAAACATTTACAGTAATTTGACTTGATACTATCTTCAACCTCTTTCGAAAATTGTTACCATTTAATTGAAACTAGCTGTGATATCTCGAAAAACAACGTCTTTTCTTCCAAAAAACGAGATATTCAGCAGTTAAAAATTTTAATTTGGCGTTAAAAATTATTGAAAAATTAACGATAATAATACTTAATAAATAATCAGTGAACTCAAATGGTTATACTGCTAACTTCTGTTTATTATTGAACGACGTTTCGGCCCGTACAGAAACAAGTTTCAAGGCCCTCATCAGGTTCAAATAAAATAATTGACCGCTTAAACGGGTCGCGTCAGGCAACGCTCTAGATGTTATTATTGCGAATAAACAGAAGTTAGCAGTATAACCATTTGAGTTCACTGATTATTTATTAATCTATCCACTGCTATTAGAGTACGCCTAATGCTTAATAATAATACTTTTCATTATCATTAATAAAATTTAAAATTATTTCAATTGATAAAAAATTCGCGAAGATATTTAGAAAAAACTGAAAGGCTACACAGTGGTGTACCGCTGATGGTTTGTTTGGAATTCGGTGATAAGCTGTGTGTTAGAAGTGTGAATTCCAAGCAAATGTAAGACTTAGCTTGGTGACTTAAGGTGGCGCCAGTGGCCTCAATGTTAAAATTATAAATAACCCAACCGAGGTTAATAAAATTGAATTATATTCTTTGAATTCCCATCTTTCTATTCGTATAGAAAAAAATTAAGGTTGACGATGAAAATTTTAAGAAATCATGCTTACAAAATCGTAGTTTTAAGACGGGTTAGATAGGAAATGCAAGCTTACGCGATATACAACCTACTGCTGCACTTATATAAATAACCCGTAAGGTGTAAAAAATATACTATCTTGTATATATTATTACGCAGTTTTCGATGACATGAGAAAAGTGTCTTGTTATCGAACAAAATCTTTAAATAATCGGAGACTAAGTATACAGTTGCGAGTGCAAGTCAGCTCTCAGCTGTCTGCATTCTGCAGAGGACATATATATAGGTATAACTACAGCTGAGCAATGTTGCCACATTCTTGAACTTAGGAGCGTACCGTAACAGTTCATCAATTAGGGCACCATAAAACTGTTTTGTTTTTTTTTTAACTCACTAAAGTAACATAAAATGTAGAACATGGCTTACAACAGTCTCTACGATAATTTTATACCATATTTTAAAGAAAATAATGATTAATTTTTAGTCTCCCCATTTTGATACGGCACTAGACGCTGGAGCCACCTTAATTGTTTGAGAAAAGCTCGAGCCAACCAGACCATTGTAGACTCACCTTTAAAGTGAAGCAAGAGGAATAAGAAAGATAGGACCGCCGATTTTGGTTCGAACGTTAAGAATAGCAGCCTAACTATCATCATTGCTACGAGTACCCTTGTATAAAATTAGAACCATTGTTCGATGCACCTTTTAAGATCTTGCGACTGCGTGCGCGCAAGAGCGGCTAACCAATGATCACAAAATTAAATTAAGTAAAGAAAATTTCAACGTTGTTTAACACCTCTTTTCTCTGAGTGTAATAGTGCTGCAGAGACGACGACTGACACATTACAAGTCCACGAAAACTTAGTAATTAAGATCCAACAGGTAGTTGTTGAAGTCAACTGTCAGAGGGCGGGTTCGTTACCCAGTAAAAAATTAAATTATTTTAATCGTTGATTTAATTAATGAGAGAAATTAAAAGAGACTTTACATTTTTGTTAAATAGTCTTGGAATTCCTGTAATTTATACAGTGATAGTTTAAGATTATTACTTTTAATTATCAGTCGTCAATCGAAACGAATATTTTATCAACCAGATTTTTAATTAATCTGAAATCTTAAATACTTCTATGGAACTCACAACCACCTAAAAGGCGAACAGTTACTTTGAAATGAGCGCACACAAAATTAAAATTGAGATGGAATATTTATTTAAGAAATAACAATATATTAAAGTATGAAAATTGCTTTACAATCCATACGAAGCACTAAATATGTTTCATGTCACTGTTTGTTCGTGGATTATTGAACTTGGAAATTTTTAAATTTCAATTTTTGTGCCTTTATAAAATATATTTTCCTGTGGTCGAACAGATAGACAGCACGAGGTAAGAACAACTTGAGTTATCTCTTGATAGATGTCCCTTATTTAGGTCTGTGGGCGCTCGTAAGCACAGCCTACGATGACTCTCCCAGATTATTTCACTCTATATAATCGTGTTCTATCTACTAGAGAAACTTGACTACTGGGGTATACACAGAAGTATTGAGCACACAGTAGAACCCGTAAAAATTATTTACCTTACTAATAGTCAGACTCCGAAGATGATGTTTACCTTGACTCGTTCACTCAACTTGCTTCGACGACCTATTACTCGTATTTCACCCTTATCCAGGTAACACCGCGCAACGGGTCCTAGACAAGAGATAGACTGCTGACGTAGTCATGGATCTCTCTTGACTAGGTAATGCCAATGAACGGGTCCTAGCCGAAGGAGGGACTGCTTTTCTGGGATCATTTAGGGCTTTTTATCCCCTTGTAATTTTACTTTTGTAGAAGGTTTTCCATTTTTTGGGTGGACGTGCTTTAGTGTTCGCTTAGCGTACCATGCGCACATGATCCGAGCGGCGTTCAAATTTGAATTTTAATGTGTAAAGTAATGACGAGTGTTTGTAAAATGAAAAAAAAAAAAATTAGTAGAATAAAAATTTGCAAAATAAAAGAAAATAAAAAATATACATTAAATTAAATATATTCACTAAGAATGTGTACCCTTTTACTTGCTAAAATAGTTTAAATGCAAACCTAAAAGTTTAAATTTTGTAGTCTTGTAAAATTCGAGTATTTCATGCTTTAAAAAATTCAACAATATTTCAGTTGATGAAATTTTATGTTCTATATTTAAATATTTAACGATCGACGATCAAACATTCCAATTTATAAAAACAAAATTTCAGCTTCAATGAATAAATTGATTGCAAAGCAAAAAAAAGTAGACTAACGCATAATAAAGATCTTTGAAAGGGCGTAAAATAAAAGACGAATTGAAATACGCAACTACTGCATTACATTCAACAGAAATTCATTCAGTAGATCAACGTCAGTTTGGCGTATGACACACTCAAATGTACAGACTGACAAGTTAATGTATCTAACATTCAAAGATACTGCAACAGCTGGGAGTTTAAAAGAACACCGTAGCCAAGTATATGGTATTCTTAAAAAAGCCAGTATTGTTATATTACCATATAAGTTACTTTTTTGTGGTTTCTAATTTCAGAAAATATCCGAGGAAATAAAATTTGGAAAACATACAAAAAATCATCATTTTATGGAAGATTTTATGGACAATAATGAATATCGTTCACTTTACCATATAAATGCAACTTTACAGTTAGGAGAGAAATCATGAGAAAACTAAAATGTACCTACACAAACAAAAATTTATATAAAAGAAAATAGTACCATAAAAGAAAAGGTTTTTTGTACTTAAATGTTCAATACAATGTATGATAAATTAAACAAAGATCAAATTACAACTTTTAAAATAATATGTGGACTAAGAAATAATTTCTTTATCGATTCCCCAGAAAATTTGGGAAAAAAATTTCATTTCTATTTAAAACCTTAATTTATTATTTTATTTTTCGTGAAAAAAGTTCGTTCCAGTTTCCGTTTCCAGTTCGTTCCTGGAATTTAAATAAAAACAAAACAAAATTAAGA